AATTCAGGTAAAACAGAGTAATTGTGGTGGATGTTTACACAAATTGCCATCAGCAAGATTAGAGAGAACACACACAATGAAAGGTGGAAAATGATCAGAAACACACCCAAGGATAAGGTAAATTTAAGAAATGCATCTGTGGGGGACTTTCAGACTATGGATGTGTTTGTCTTGTGAGTTGTAATGGAACAGCATGAGCTAACTAATCAGTTTCTGAACCCCCAAGTAAATATCAAGATTATCAACAGCAGTCATGACTGTGAGTGGTGGGACTTGGTCTTGATATTTAGGAGTAAAATTCTAAAAAGTTTTTTCTGTTTTGTAAATTTTCTCATTATGCCAAACACATGTACAAGAAAATGAAATTTACTAAAAGGTCTGAATCTAGCTTATGATGGTAGATGTGCCTGGACTCTATATGTCCCACTCTCTCTTATTCCTCCCTCTCCCTTTCCAGTGCTCCTTCTCCCACCATCTTCCTACCCCTGCCTTCCTCTCTTCTCTCCCTCCTCACAGCAATCACCCTTTAACTTTCTTCCTGCCTTTCCCTCCCTCTGTCTTCCTTCACCTACCTTCCTCTTCTCCTTCCCTTTGCCTACCTCGCTAATACTCTGGAGCTGGCCATGATTATGCCAACAAACTAAAGAAGATTGACAAGGCAGTTCTCTTTCAACAAGAGTTACACACCATTGTGAATTGTCTTGTGGGTGCTGGGAATGAACCGTGCTTCTCTGCAAGAGCAAGAGATACTCTTAACTGTGAACCTTCTCTCTAGCCTCCTAAGTTTTCTCTTTATTATCACTATGACAATTTAAGAGGCAAGCAAATATCAGTCTTAATTTTTTTTTATTCATTGCTGTTGTAACATCTGAGTAGCATAGTGGTTTTACAGCACTCAAATATGAAAATTTTAGCTTCTCTGTTTTAAAAAGTCATTTTCAAGCAAGTAAAATGTGCATCACAGCAAGGTTGGCATAATGTCATATGCTATTTAATTTCCTTACTCACTCAGCTACCTCATGTCTTAGAATTCATTTCTTTGTTCATGACCTTTGTAGAAGAATTGTTCCTTCCTAAATTTATTGTTCACAACAGAGAAAACTCAAGACTTGCTTTCCTTATATACTGTGCGAAGATTAAATAGAAAATGCTCACCTGACTCAGTCCTGATACCATCTTGATAGCATCTGTGTCACAGTCACTACAGTCCATTTGTATGTATGGGAATTACAGAGCAAGGCTAAGATAAAGACTGGTAACTCTATGATCTCACCTCCCTAAAGAATACTAATTTTCACTACATTTCCACTTAAGAGCAAATGACAATTCAAGCCTGGGGAGCCAGCAATATCTGTAAGTAATTTTCTCCCTGTTGTTGACTTATATGAATTACAAGTCGTTAGTAGTCATAAATTATACCTTTCTGTGTTCCTCTCGTCCCCTGCTCTTCCAACATGCTGGGAATTGGAGTTCTACTCTCAAATAACCTAGATTATACTTTTTACATAAAATAGAATTAACACTCTGTGCTCCTTGCCTTCTTGCACCTGTTTTATTGATTAAATGCATTGCCTTCATGTTCCGCCTATGTGACTCTAAATCATAGGCATGTTGTATTTCTTCTTTTGATTTTTAGTTTGTGAGTTTCACATATAAATTCAATGCATACTGATTATATTCACACCCATTACATTCTTTTACTCGGTTCTTTCCCTCCGATCCCCTTTATCATCCTAATTCCCCAGTGGATACATTGTTGAAGAAAATATCAGCCCTTCCTCTAGTAGCATTAATAGCCATTAGTTATATGGCTTGTGGGTACCTCCTCTGACTATGATAGAATGTTGGAAGGTCCAGTCCTTTGTAGGAATCCATGTCTGCTGAGTACCAGGGTTGTCATGGCCATGTTGCACCTGGATGGTTACTCCTTCCACATTGTACTGCTCTGAAATTACTTACACTTTCTGTTCTGTGAGGTACTCAGAGCTTTGGAGTAGATAACATGTATCCTATTTAGAGGTGATCACTCATGAGCCATTTATTCTCAGGACTTTGACCAAGAATCAATCTCTGTATTTACCATCAACTTCTGCAAAATGAATGTTCTCTGATCCAGGCTGAGAGCAATAGTAGTCGTCAGGCAAGACTTTGGAAATTGTACTTTTTTATGCTTTTAAATTTTCTTTTGTTTTGTTTCTTATTTCATTAAGGGACAAATAGTGTTTCATGTAATTCATCTACCACAAGGTCTCTATCCATTCACAAGTCCATGGACATTTCTGTTGATTCCACTCATATTTAGAAGAGTTTTGCAATGAACAGCAGCAGGCAGTGCAGTTCTTTCTAGTATTGGGAAAGCTGGCCAGGTATGGTAGAGATAACACTAGATTAGTACAATCTAGCTTCCTATGTGTCCGGTGGTTCAAGTTTATCCTATCCTCAGGAACAGAGTCTTGCCATTGAGTTTTTAGAAGAAGAGATTGTTTTTAGGGGTTGATTTTTATTGGTTTGGTTTGGTTTAGTTTAGTGTACTTAGTTTTATTTCAAGATTCTTTAGGGTCTTTGGAGTCATTAGTTAATCAATACAGTTTTTGTAATTCCATGTTTTGGTGGAATAAAATGCATGGAAAATACTGGAAATAAAATGAGACTTGAAATTCAAGGTATGACCCCATCAAGCCTGTACATTCTTTGTATTCTCAAACATTTCAAAAGAGCACAATCATCTACTAATCACAATTTCAAACACAGGAGGCTGGGCAGAAAATTTAATATACCATGATGAGATACTTGGTGAGATACAATGTTTTATGTCTTTTAAAGTAATTACTTTTGTGTTAAATTACTTTAATGTGTTTCAATTGGTGAGCAGAAATACTACTAATTTCTTTAGCCTGACAATATATTGGATCTGAGTACTAAAAACAAGTACTAGTAATGAATTTGAGTATAATATTTATGAAATCTAACATTGAAAATCATATTTAATACAAAAAGGACCTTGCAGTGTTTGGCTATTTTTGTATCTTCTATTTCAAATTACATAAGAAAAACATCTATCTTCTACTCTCATCATACTCAGCTCTAAAGAGGTAAGCTTCACTTCCATTATTGAATTTCAACAACTGATCTGGCTTCTTCCAACTGAATTCAAGGTGACATGCATGGCAGGTTTTAGGTGTTCGTCCAGAGTGCCAATGTAAAAGATTCCCACTTTAAGATATAAGGCTAAAAGGAAGTCCTTCGCTGATAGCTGGAATGTAATGGAGACGTAAATTTTATGTATCCCAGTTCTATCTCCCTCCCTTCCTCCCCCCTTCTTTCCCTCTCTCCCACCCTCACATGCACCCAAACCACCCTCCTATACCCCCCCACTCCCCGCTCCATTCCACATGTAGGGTGATGCCCTCCAGGAGGGGGTTGAAGACAGATCATTATGGTTATGGTTTTCCTTATTTATGATACAAGAGAAGTTACTTATAAAACTTTAGACTTCCAATGATAGGATAGATGATAGAATATTTTGTTTTAAATTTTGCCACGTTGTGGACTAAATATTGTTAACGATAATTATTGCTTGGTAATTGTTTTGTTATATATAATCTTACTATGTTAAAATTAAAGCCCTCCTTTTTTATTGAGACAGAAAAGAGGAGATAATGGGGGATGTTCTTCTGTATGCTTTGAATATATGTTTCTCTTATTGGTTGATGAATAAAGCTGTTTTGGCCAATGGACAGGCAGTATGCATCCAGACAGGCAGATCTACTAGACTAGGTGAATCCTGGGAAGAGGAACATAGAGTGTGTTTTGAGGTAGAGATACCATGTAACTACTGGGAAGATGGGTCATTGGGCATTCTCTAATTATTATGATCACATGGAGATATGTAGATTAATAGAAATAGGTTAATAATTAACAGAGAGCTAGCTAGTAAGAAGCCTGAGCCATTGGCCAAACAGTTTATAATTAATATAAGCCTCCGTGTATTTATTTGGTACTAAATGGCTGAGGAACCATGTGGGGCAGAAACTTATGCCAACAAAACATGGTATGTATTAACTCATAAGTAGATATTAGATGTAAAGGAAAGGACAACAAGACTAAAGCCCTCAGCTCCAGAGAAGCTAGTTATCAAGGAGGACCCTAAGAGGGACACAAGGATTACCCTGGAAAGAAAAATTAGACAATATCTACAGGAGGCAATGAGGTGGTGGGGGGGGTGTAGGGGGATGAGAACAGAAGGGAACAAGATGGCCTAGGCAAACCAGGGAATACATGTGATTCCATAGTCTTTCCAGACAAGCAAGCAGACAATCTCAATTTGGTTCACTAGACGTCCTTAAGTACATCACAATTTTCCCTTTGATTGTTAAGGGTTGTATACATACTATCTTTAAAATCGTTTCTGCCATCATATTAAATATTAATGAATATAACACAACTTAAAGAAAAATGATTTGCTTTGTTCATATTTTCAGATTTCAGTTCATAGTCACCAATAGTTCTGTCTCTTTGGGCATGAAATAAGGCTAAACACCAAGGGAAGTAGTAAAGAAAAGAAATTCCTGTGTGACCCTCTCTCTTTCTTTCCCTCATTGTGTGTGTGCTTGTGTGTGTGTGTGTGTGTGCGTGTGTGTGATTACATGTTCATATTTGTGACTGTCTATTCGCTTGCCCATGCATGTGATGTGGAATCCAGAGGTTGCTGTCGTGTTGATGTCTTCTTCAGTATTTGTATTTTTGAAATAGGAGCGGGTCCAGGGCAGCCTGACAGCTGCAGTTGTGTGGGAGGGGCGGGTCTTGGTGGGGCGGGGACACTAAGCCGGAAACAGCGGTTGGGAGGGTGTTTACCATTGGTCAGGTGTAGGGGAAGTGCGTGGGTGGGAAGGGTTAGAGGAGTGACCTGAGGGAAGCTGGGAAGGAGCTTTACTGAGCCCAGTTAAGTTGGACCGAGGAGACTCAGACAGCAGTGCCCGTTACCCACCCCCTGTCGCTGCTCCGGGTCCTGCACGGTGTGGAATCCTGTGCTGCAGATCTGGGTGCGGAGGACACGGCGGGTGCCGCGGGGACCTGAAAACTCCGGAGCCACAGTCTCCACGCTTGCGGCCTGGAAAAGTCACAGTCAGCAGCGCAGTGGCGGGAACCGCAGCCCGGCGGCCCTGGAACCTCCCAGGTGAGAGGAGCTGCGGGGCTGGGACCCAGGAGGGAGGGGACCGGGGATGGGAGCAGTTTCTCTGCTGTCACTAAGGAAGCCGGCTGAGAGACATTGCTGTGGATGTCTTCTTCCCTTGTCGGTAAATTTTAGGTCGTGTGAACTGGACTAATCCTGATTTGTTTTTCACTACTTTAGTTGCCAAAATATTCTTGCAAGTACACTCTAGCAGAACATTTGAATTTATCTGTTGATATTTGCAAGCGCGTTTCTATTTGCTATGGTGCATAGGGCAAGGCTCTTGAAATTCACACGCATCATGCTATTTTTCCTGCTAAACCACTTACCTGTTCAAGAGAGTGGCATATGGGCCTGGGGAACTGGCAATCCCCAGAAAGCTTTTCGATGTTTGTTATGAAAGGAATGCTTGCACTTTTGACTGATTACGGGGTGTGTGTGTGTGTGTGTGTGTGTGTGTGTGTGTGATATTTGCGAGGTCCATAGTTGTAAACATTAACATTTAAAAGTAAGTTTTTACCTCACTCATTTTTCTTAAGAGATATATGCACTCTGTGATGTAAATACAGCATTCTGAAAAGTGTCTTTGCCAGGCCCGGTGGCACAGGCCTTGAATACCAGCGCTCTGGAAGCAGAGGCAGGTGGCTCTCAGTAAGTTTGAAGCCAGCCGCGGGTATGTAGTGAGTCCCAGGACTTTCGTAGCTACGTGGTGGCACCCTGTCTCAAAAGCAACAAACAAACCAATACTCAAACGTGCCTTGTTCTGAGCTATGAATGTTGCACCTAGAATCTGGAAAGTCCAGCATGCTGTTTGAGACTATCAGGTCACAGTATTTCCATTTAGAAAAAAACATTATAAGCCAGGTGGTAGTGGCACATACTCTTCATCCCAGCAGTAGGAAGGAAGAGGCAAGTTGATCTCCTGATTGCAATGCCAACCTGGTTTACAGAGCAAGGGCTACACAAAGAAACCCTGTCTTGAAAAGAACAAAAAAAAAAAAAAAAAAAAAAAAAAAAAAAAAGAAAAAAGAAAATGCATTATAGTATAGGGCAGTACTGAAAGACATTTGAGTAATTATAATCATGTACACCAGGAAAAAAAAAAAACATTTGTAATTGTCTTTTGTCTGCCTGGATCATAAGAACTATCTTTTCCATGGACATACAACCAAACTGGGTTTTGTTTGTTTGGGTTTTTTGTTTGTTTTTGTTGTTTTGTTTTTCTGTTCTTGCATCACTCTATCTGCCCAAGAATTCACTTTGTAGGCCAGGCTGGACTAGAACCAAGAGTCAGAGTTCCACCCACCTGTCTCCCAAGTTCTAGGATTCAAGGTGTGAACCAACAGGATGATTCAAATGGAAATGTTTTACTTTGTAGTCCATTGACAGCTAGTGGTGTGACTGTGGGCTTCTCATAGGAGGAGGGGCAATGCCTGAATCCTGCCCAGAGGGCTCTGTGCAGAGACTGGACGTTACAGAATTGCAGCACTCTGGTTTCTGTGGGTGAGGAATCTTTGCTTGCAGTCTCCCTTGCTCCTCCTCAGGGTTTCTTGACAACTTACTCTGCAGATGTGTGAACTTTGTGTGAATGAGTCTCACAGAGTAAAGTGGAATCCCCAGAGAAACAAAGAAAATCTTAGTGAAATGTTCTCTCTTCTTCCTGTATGTCCCTTTAGAAAATGAAGACTTCCATCAGTTTTGGTCCATGACTAATTCAGAACCTCATTAGTGTATAATAGCCTCATTCCAATCATTTAGTTCCATTTCTGACCCTGAGTTTTGACTGAGGTGTGATTGGAATTGGGATTCAAGTTACAATAACTGAAAATGTTTTCAAATTGTTTTTAGTGTCCTGCCACTGCAGGAGAGTTGGGGAATCATTTGTATAATCCTGTGTTTAGTGTTCCCTTCATTTACTGAGCACAGTACTGTGTTAGAAGTCCAGGGGCTTCCTGAACAATCTTTTTCTTGTGTGCAGGGCTCACTAATCACCCAGACTTGCTCACCTGTGCAGCAGAACAAGGGGGCCTGGAAGATGGAGAAGGAGACAGAAGCTAAGGATGCAGGTATAGTGGAGGGATTGTTGAAGTTGTGGGAAGGGGATAAAGTGAATGTGTAAGTGGGTCAGGAAATCAGTTTTGCCCTATTCTGATGGGGGATGTCCTTCTGTATGCTGTGAATATATGTTTCTCTTACTGGTTGATGATAAATGCTGATTGACCAGTAGCCAGGTAGGAAGTATAGGCGGGGCTACCAGAAGAGGAGGATTCTGGGAAGAGGAGAGACAGGGAAACAGTTGCTAGAGTGAGACACCATGTAGCCACTGAGAAAGCAAGAGGCTTAGTCATCACTGGTAAGCCAAGACTAGGTGGAGATACGCAGTTTAATAGAAATGGGTTAAAAATTTAGAAAGAGCCATAAGAAGCCTGATCCATTGGCCAAACAGTTTATAATTAATATTAGCCTCTGTGTTCATTTGGGAATAAACGGTCTTGGTACTGGGCAGTACAGAAACCTCCATCTCCAATATTCTATTTCAATAGAAATAATTCTGGAGACTTCAACTGAGAAAGAGTTCCTTAGGGTTATCCTGTTGGGGGTGGGAGAAGAGGTTCTAAGGATGAATTGACACTAGGAGGCAAATAAAATTTTATTTAGGACTATGCATGTGAGTGATGCTTTTCCTATTCATTCACATCACTGATCGTGTCATCATACCATATTAATTGGTTTTGATGTCTGTGATTTTATTGTATTATAAGATAGTAAAATTATGACCTCTAGGTTTACTTATTGTTTTCAGAATTTTGAAGCATTTGGTATGTTAGCACATTCTCTATACCTTTTAGTGTTAATGTCTCCATTCCTGAAAATAATGCCAATGGTTTTGATAAGAATCATGAACTATATTTACAGACCGTTAACTCTTGTCTACACTGTCTTCTCATGGCTATCTCCTGTTGTCTGTGGTCATGATAATCCCAAGTGGTTTCCTTTCCTGTAATTGTAATGTACTATGAGATCACCTCTGAGTTTGATCATCTTATTATTTTCCGGCTCTTTACTCTTCCTTGGTACATTCAGTAAAATATGCAAATAGCATTGTAATGGGAATTATTGGTGTCTTACAGAAGACAGACCTTCTAGGTTATATTTTCATGTTTGACAAGAACATGAGGCAATGTGCCAGTTTTCACATGTTTTTGTATCCTGTTTTCTGTCTGCGGTGGATATCTGCATTCTAGCTTATTTTGTTTGTTCTTTTGTTTTTTGAGATAGGGTTTGTTTGTGTAGCTTTGGAGCCTGTCCTGAAACTAGCTCTTGTAGGAACTCAGAGATCTGCCTGCCTCTGCCTCCCAAGCTCTGGAATCAAAGGTGTGTGCCACCACCACCCAGCTTTCATTTCAGCTTTTGTGACATGCACCCATGTTGACCAGAGAACCTTCTGTCTGTCTATCGGATCATTTTTCTTTTTGTATTTTTTTAAAAACAGACTTAATTCACTTTATTTTTCATGTATAAAAATTCTTATGTGGTGGCTACAACTAGTTTCCCTGAACCTCTGAGACTCTGGTATGGATTTTCATAAGATGGTCAGTGAATTCCTGATAAGGAGACTTGGTGAACATAGTCTCTTTCCAAAGGTCAGGTATCAGGTCAATGTAGGCCTTGGAGATGGTGTTAAAGGTGGCCTCGACAAAGTTGCCCAGGGTGGCAGTGCAAATCCTGGCTGATATGTTGCTGTCATTAATACTGGCCTCCCCAGGCAGAGATAAGAGACACCAACACAGAGCCACATTGGCATGTAACTTTTTTACAGGACAGTGTGGAGCTTGCCAGTCTTCTTCCCCCAGTAGCCTCTTCATATAGGGACAATGGAAAGCTTGGCCAAGATGACGGGTCCTAGGACACCAGTGGCTACCTCCATGAAGCACTTAACACCAGGATCAACATGACCATTGTAGTCCCCCTATGGTGACAAAAGCCTTGAAACTGGTCTGCTTCCCAACCCGTGTCTGCTTCCATACTGGCTTGATCTTTAAACCTCATTATTTAGGGATGCTCCCAGGAAAAAGTCAATAATATCAGATTCCTTAATGGGCAGAGAGGACAGGTAGATCTCCTCCAAGGTCTTCAGGTTCTTAACCAGGCAGCCTGGGTTGGTAACATGTATCTACTCATTGTCTTCAGCTTTTGATTTTTCTGTCACTATTTTATGTATTACCATCAGTCTTCCATACTGCTGTCCATACTTATGACATTAAAAAATTTCCTTCCAATATCTTGGATCTTAAGGTCTTTAGATATGAAATAAATTTTTGGTAGAAAATATATATTTTAATATCAGCCAGCCCTTATTTTCAAATGCTGTAGTATATATATATATATATATATATACATATATATATATATATATATATATTTGCTTAAGAAATTTTATAAATTTATTTTTCTAGAAATTAGTGAAAGAAATTCATTTGTTAGAAAAACATTTGTTTAGCAACTCGAGCATAGACAGTGAGTAGAGAATTGGAATCTCTATATATTTACATTATCTTATAACCTACAATATAGAACTTTTTGATATGTACAATAAATTGGCCATTTCAACTGCTGTTGAGCATGGGATGTTCAATCCAGTTGTTCATTTACCAATTATATTATCATTTGCTTCTTTTGTAAATTTTGATTCAGTGTTTTTATCCATTGTAGTACAAATAGATAGCTAATAAATGTATCTGCTGTATAGGCTGTCTCTTCATGCTTTTAATTATTACATTTTCCGTGGATATATTTAATTTTATACAGCACTAATTGTCCATTCCTGCCGTTGTATCAAGTGTTGCCTCTTTGTGTTGCTTTGCAGGATTCACTATTTCAGATGGTACATGAAGATCTTTGATTCCTTGTATGGTACGAAATATTTGAACCCAAGTTACTGTTTTTATATGCGGATAGATACTTTTACCAATATCACTGTTTGAAGAGGCTGTCTAGTCTGCCATGTGTGTTTGTGGTACTTTGACATTGACAGGTCATTGCTATTGGACAGGTTCTAGAACTTCTGCTCTGTTATATTGAACTGTTTGTCTTATCCACTCCCATGATGCTGTTGGTTGTGTGGATCTACAGTGTCAACTAGAATCACACTGGGATAGCACCAGCATTGTAACATCCTCAGAATTTGTCCATCAATACAAATTCTATGCTTCTCTTTATTATCTTTCTGAAGTATATTGTGGGAAGTTTAAATGTCATGAAGTTTGAAGTGATCAAATAAACCACTTCCATAAATAGTGAAAATTTGAATATTCTGTCCCCTTCCATCTTTGTAAATCATCTTCCTATGTTCTAGTTAGCATCTCCTTCAGTCCCTTCAGCAAATCAAAGTTTTCAAATCGGGACCTTTCATTTGTTTTATAAGTTGATTCAAGGAGATTTTATTTATTTATTTTCTCTCGCTTTACTAATTATTTACTGTTCATTTTTATTTAGATTTATATATTTTATGTATAAAGTATTTTTGCTTGCCTGTTTGACTTTATATCATGTGCATCCTGAAGTTGTAGTTATGGACAGATGGGAGCCACTGTGTGGGGTCTGGGAATAGAACTGGGTCTCTGAAAGAACAACGGGCTCTCATAACCATTGAGCCATCTCTCTAGCCCCCTATTAAGTTTAATTATGTGAATATGAATAATAGAAATATTATAATTTTTTTTAAATCTAGATATTCCAAAATCTTGCCTTTACATAGACATTTAGTATTTCTTAATGACTCTTTCTTTGTTATTTATTATATGTTTTTGTGTATTCTTAAACATAAAAATACAGCCTACTCAATCTGTATGTTTTAAGAGATGAACATTTGATATTGGATAGCCATATGGTGCACTTATCTCTGGGAAAGACTATTTCTCCAACTCTCAGAATTCCGTAGTGTTTGACTAGGGTTGAGGCCTGGTGAGCTTTCTCCCTCCCATGCTAGCGTGTCTCTTGCTGTTGTCCTTGTTCAGCTCATTTTTAGGCAGCCATGTTTGTAAGATTTCATACATGTAGCTTCTCTGACATTTATAGGGGACACAGTCTCACAGCAAACATCCTGTTCTTCTGGCTCTTACAATCTTCCCTCCCTTCTTTCTCAATGATCCCTGAGCCTGAGGTGAAGGAGTTGTATTGTTTATGTGTCAATGGGAACTGAGCATCACAACCTTGCATTTTGATTGAATGTGCTTTTCTGCAGTGATCTCCATGTGTTGCATAAGGAACTTTCATAGATGAGAGGTGAGAACTACATTTGTCTGTGGGAACAAGGAAAATATTTAGCAAAAAGTTGGGGATTGTGCCTATTTAGTAAAGTAGTGGTTGTAGGTTCTCCTCCAGCAGCCATGCCTTCACTGGCCCTGGGGAAACTAGCTAGGTTTCCAGTACCAGGCATGTTTTCCCTCTTGTTGAGAGAGTCTTAAGTCCAATTAGAACCGCCAAGGTATGTGTGCCACTCTTGTAACCCCAGGGCTATCTTGCAGTGTAGACCATTGTTGTAGTTCTTAAGAGTCAGAGCTGGTAGGACTGTTGGATGATTCCCTCCTTTGGAAGGTTGCATGTTGCCTTCTGGGAGGAGGCTTTAAGGTCAGTTTCATCTCTCATGCTCTGGGTCTGTGTCTTAAGTGCCTGGCTTCTTCAACAGTAGGGAATCACCTTCTACCTCTGGGAGACAACCATGGACAACAATAGCCTATTAATGTTTGTGGAGTATCTTCCACAGCTGTGACCAAGAACTTCAAAAGCGGCTTCTCATGCCTTGTGTGGGTGATTTTGTTAGAAAATGTCTTGTGGGAGCATTATCAGCTCAGATGGGAAGTTTTTAGTTTGTTTGTTTAGTTTGTTTGTTTGAGACAAAGTTTTTCAGTAGCTTTGGAGCTGTCTGGAGCTGGGTCTGTAGACCAGACTGAACTAGAACTCACAGAGATCCATCCACCTGTCTCTGCCTCCTGAGTGCTGGGATTAAAGGCATGTGCCACCACCACCTGACCAGATGGAAAGATCTTATTTACACGATGAATGTATATGCATGCATAGAGTTATTTGTATTATAGGCATTTTTTTGGTAGATGGGCAATACTATTATGCCATATGACTTTCTCAGAAATCTTATTGTTATTTTACCCTCCTTCTGTGTTTATATCTGCCCCATCTCCATAATTAAATCCTTCCCCCTGATTTTCTATTTCCCCCCTTTAGATCATTGTTCCATGTGATTCCCCTCTTTGTTACTCCACAGTGCTATTTTTATTTTTCTTGTAATTGTAGTCACTCCAGGTTGTGTACTCACATCTGAAGATTTAGAGCTAAGAACTTCCTATGAGAGAAATTGTGCAATGTCTGTCTTTCTTAGTTTGGATTACTCCATTCAATATGATCTTTTCAGAGCCTTCATTTTACCTTCAAAGCTTGTGATTTCAGTCCTCTTTATCCCTGAACAATATTCTATAGGTTATATGTATTGCATTTTCATTATCCAATTTTCAGTGGAAGGACATGTAGGTTGTTTCCCTTGTGTAGCCATTTTGAGTAGAGCAGCTGTGAACAAGGGTGAGCAATTACCTGTAGAGTAGGATGTCAAGTCCTTTGAGAATAGAACAAGGAATGGTATAGCCAGGTCATGTGCTAGATTTCTTTAACTTTTTCAGAATTTTTCATGTTGATTTCCAAAGTGGCTAGGTTTTTTCAGTTTGCTTGTTTTTAGGATTTTCAATCTGTATCGTTTTGTTTTTGTGTTGTTGCTAGTTGAAATATTCATAGCATTCTTCCTTCTCTCTGAGAATTTGTGTTTTGCTTCTTGCCCATGGATGATTACTTCCCAGTTCTCCCAAATTAATCTAGTCTAAACATGAAAGTTATTATTTATAATGTTGTCATGGAAAGTTCCTCTAATTCTCCTGTTTATATTTTGCCTAATTTATCATATGCAATGCTGCTTTAGGGAAATAAACTGTATTAAATTGTGACTGTCTTAAAATACACTTATGTCTACATCAATTCTGAGATAGAATTATTTTGTGCAACAGTATTGATGATGGTGGTTTTCTCTTCAAGATTTGAGATCATTGTCTGGACACCTGGTCATATTCTGTTGCTTAAGTCTTTTCATGTGGTTTGATATTGTTCTCTAGCAGCTTTCATTACTAATTTTTGCTTTTGCTTTTTGACTCCTTAATGTGAAAGAGAAGCAAGCCATCTATTCCTTGTTCCTGAAAGAGAAACTCAAAGAAGAGAAACAGAAAGAAATGGCTGATTTTCCAATTCATCTCTCACAGGTCAGTGATCCTGTTCCCTTTATTTTTTGGTAGAGATTTTATAGTTGAGACACTGGAAGCCTCTGATTTTCTGCTTCTGATTTTTTTTAAGCTTTAAATGAAAAATATTGCAAATAAACAATCACACACTGAAATTTACCAGAACCAAAGACTGTACAACTCAATGCGTTTGGAGCCTCACATGGGATTTTATAGTTTCAATATCCAATATAGTTTCATCTATTTATCTAACATCAAAAACCAAAACCCTGTGACATAATTAGAACTAGAAAAGTACTTAGCTTTATATCTTTTCATAACTGATTTTGATAACATGTCTTCAATCTTACATCAGTACTGATATTTAACCTTTCTTGTTCTGCTGTGCCCAACAAGTACTAGTGATTAGACTCTGCATGAGGGAAAACATGGTTTCTGATATTATGTAATCTCACTTACACATTATGAATCCATCCATTCTCCTGCAAATTTTAATATACTTTTCTCCTCAGCTGAATAGCATTCTCTTTTGTATGTATGCCATTTCCATTGTCAGTTTATCTTCGGATAGACAATTAGGTTGATTATAATTTGTTGTTATTGTGCATACAGCAGCATTGACCAATGGATGTAAATATCTCCATGGTATGGTGTCTAGTTCCCTGAGTGTATGCCCAGGAGTGAGAGACCTGGGACTTATGTAGTTCTGTCTTCAATTTGTTAGTACTCTTCAAACTGATTGCATTTGAGTGTGTTAATTTACACGACCCTCTCATCCACACCAACAATGAATAAGACTTCCTTTTGATAGGACCTAGGAGAAATACGTCTTTTCTAAAAGAGAGGAAATCAACCCAAGGATTGAATTGTTCTTTACTCGTGTTAGTATATTGTAAAGAAGATGCTATCATAGAAAAGAGGTACAATCTAAAGTCTTTCAGACTGGCTCACACAGGAAGAAGATAACATGAAGTTGCTCAAGCTGAGTCATGGCTGGAACCATGTCTGTTACTTCAATATTTTTAACAGTTTTGTAGTGTAGCTCAAGAAAACTGCTTTTCCTTGGCCTTTGTAATCTGCTTCCTTGCTCTTGCTTGCCAAGAAACAAAATTTATGTAAAAGATGGATGGTTCCTGTGGATGGAGTGCCTTTCTTTCCAGAGTAGAAGTGTCAGAGAATGTCAGAAAATAAACTCTTAAGGCTTTACCATCTGATATTCATTCTCTCATTGGGTTTGAGCTTGGTTTTCACTTTCTCTCCTCATCCTCTCTAATATTTGTTGTGAGTTTAGTTGGTAACAGCCATTCTGCCTGGAGTGAAGCAGTACTTCAAAGTAGTTATTGTTTGCATTTCTCTCCTGGCAGTTTAGTAATCCTGGGGTCATTTGTGTTTCTGTCTTTGAAAAGTGTCTATTCAGTTTGTTTTCTTTCCATGTTATTTAGTATCTGTAATTCTTGGTAAATTCTACAAATGAGCCCCTAATCAAAGTGTCTCTGGTACTGATTCCCAGTCTGTTTGTGGGATGTCTACTGACAAACTCTTTATTTGTAGTTCCATCTGTTGATACATGGGTTTAGTTCCTGTGTTGTTGGTGTTCTTTTTAATCCAGAAGTTGTTGCTCATTCCAATATCCTCATGGATATTTTCTATGTTTTCTAGGTTTCTGTGTGTATGGTTTTAAATAAGGTTTTTGTTCCATTTTGGTTTGATTTTTTTTTTTTTTACAATGTGAAAGATTAATTCTCCGTTTGCCAGCACCATTTGCTGAAATGACTATATTTTTCTAATGCATTTTTTTCCTCTTTTGCCAAATATGGATTAATGTTTTTTTTTTTTTTTCTGGATTCTCTATCTTATTCTGTTATCCTCCTGTCTGTGTTTTTTCCCATGCCACATTGTCTGTGTGAGTACAGATAAACAATTCCATAATTCCACATCTTCTATTGTACTTATCTCTATTCTGCTCTCCCCAGTTTTTTGGGGGATTGGTATCCCACATATAACAATGACATGTAATTTTGAAAATATTTCTACTTTGACACATGACCAAAAAAGGTTGGTGCCCAATTGATGTGGAGGATGGACTTTTATATATTGCTGAGTCGGGGCTCATGTGTCGTGTAGGCTCTGTGGAATCTGTCCCATTTCCTTGAATCATGGTTATAAAAATACATATTGAAACACGTGGACTAGTTGGAATTACATCTTAGAAATAAGTGGAATTGAAAGAGACATAGTTACTAATACTTGGTTCTTAGTAATACTAAAGATTTAAGCACAGTATAGAGTGCTGAACACTACAGGTGTATGTGTGAAATTGTTGCTCTTGTGTGTGTATACTAGCCTACTTGTATTTTTCTTTTTGGTGTTTAATATCAAAACAATGATGATGCGTCCTTTTGTTTGTTGATACCTCATATCTGTTTGTCTGAGAGGAATTGCTGTTCACATCACTCACCTGGTTAGGATGCTTTAGTGGTAACTTCCTGAACAGGAGAGATCCGTTTTTTGTTTGTTGTGTTTTTTCTTCCCTTCCCTTCTACAACGAGGATCCCATTTTGCAGTCTTTTCTTTCTGGCTGAGACTCATTATGTGGAATGCATCAGCAAAAAAATAAAAAAATAAAAATAAAAATGTCTTGGGGTGTTGACTGATTGATGTGCAGAAGCCATTACATTAGATGCAGAAAGCATTCCTCACAATTGCCTTGCTCTAGTCTGTTCCTGTGATAGTTGTGTCTCTACTCCCCCACCCTGAAGCTGCAGTGCTTTAAAGTAGAGATTTGGGGGATGGGCTCTGACCCTCAGGTTTGCATTTCTATCCCTGACTCATGGCCCAGACAGTATGTCACGAAATCTTTGTATTTTCAGAGAAATAAAAGAAGAATCACTGTACTGGCTGGTTTTGTGTATCAACTTGACACAAGCTAGAGTCATCAGAGAGGAAGGAGCCTCAACTGATGTCTCCTTGAGATCCAGCTGTAAGGCATTTTCTCATTTAGTGATCAATGGGGGAGGTCCCAGCACATGGTGGATGGTGCCATCCCTGGGCTTGTGATCCTGGGTTTTATAAGAAGGTGGGCTGAGAGGGCCAGGAGAAGCAAACCAGTGAGCAGTGCCCCCTCCATGGCCTCTGTATCAGTCCTTGCCTCTGGGATCCTGCTGTGCTGGAGTTTCTGTCCTGACTTGCGTCAGCCAAACCCTTTCCTCTTCAACTTGCTTTTTTTTTTTTTTTTGGTCTTGGTGTTTCTTCACTGCAACAGGAACCCTAAGTAAGACAAATCGGTACCAGCATACTGGGATATTGCTGTGACAGACCTGACCATGTTTTGGGAAGGATTGTAGAACTTTGGAACTTTGAGCTAGAAGAGTCATTGAGTGTTAATAGGTCTGTGGGATATTCTGTAGGAGCTTGGAAGATAAGAATACTTGTGGAATTTCAGAGGGAAGTTTAAAAATCTATCAGAGTCTTTTGTTATTTTAAATTATGGTCCTCTGGTTCTGGTTAGCTGGGGCTGAAGAATCTGCTGTGATTAACAAGGTGCCAGAACCACTAAAGCAAATTTTTGCTTTTATTAGGATACTTGGTGCTGATTGGCTAGAGCTAAGAAATTAGTGGTGGTTGAGAAGAGAGCAGCAGCATCGAGGTGAAATCTTCTGGGAAGCACAGAGAAACTGTGTTCCAGAGGCAGCCAAGGTTATACCTCATGCTGACAACCGAACTTGGTAATGTGCAAGCATCATGCAGGTGATACTGGTTCTGAAGGCATGAGGGGGTTATGGAGAGCAGCTGAGGCTTGGCACTAAAAATGCAGGAAAGGCAGTTGGTGAAGGTGCACCCTCAGTGGCTGTTGAAGGCCCAGGACTGAAGGGGTCACGCAAAGAAGCTGAGGCTTGGTACCATGAAGAGAGCTTATGGGGGGCCATTGGTGAATGTGCAGCCCAGTCCACAGCACTTTGGAGATGTCATTATCATGGGAAGACCACTGAGTTTAGTAACAGCAGTTGAGTGGAATTGGTGGGTACCTAGAAGAGGCTGAGTGTGTTTCAGAGGGCAGAGCTAGAGAAGTAAACAAGTCATTTGAGGACTCCAGACGCTCATGACTGGATCCCAGATATTGGACAGTTGGAATTTCATTTTGCTTTGATTGACTGTCCCCTAATTTTTCCCTCTTGAAATAAGAAAGTACTTTACTGGAGCCCACAGTTGAGAGACTTGAATAGTAAAAGACATTGGATTTTTATAGCTTTGCCTATTTTAAAGGAACTGAAATTTTAATGTATTTGAATTTAAGGCATTTTCTCATTTGGTTATCAGTCGGGGAGGACCCAGCCCATGGTGGGTGGTGCCATCCCTGGGCTTGTGATGCTGAGTTCTATAAGAAGATGGGCTGAGCAGGCCAGTAGAAGCAAGCCAGTAAGCAATTCCCCTCCATGACCTCTACATCACCTCCTCTCTCCAGAATCCTGCCCTGACTTGCTTCAGTGATGAAGAGCAATGCTGATGTATAAGCCAAGTAAACCCATTCCTCCTGAACTTGCTTTTTGGTCATGGTGTTCCATCACAGCAACAGGAATGCTAAGACATTCATAAACACAACTAACCCAAATGCTGTTAGACAATACAGCATAAGTACTAAAAGTAACTCATTGACAACTACAAAATTCAAACACGGTAGTACAAATTTTCTCTTGAGCCATTATGTGAGCATTTGCAAAGCACTGAAAAGTTGCTACAGTTCTCTGAATTTAATAATCATTTCCTGACAGGAAGTCTTTTTTACTTCTGAATGCATCCACAGTATACTACACTTATGTGTGCATGCTGAGCTCTAACTTAAACATTAATGTGGCTTTAGACTTCCATCATTTTTCTATAGCATTACCAGTGAGATCTTCAAAACTTCTAAAAATTATTCATCTGTCAGCTTCTGCATATTTCTAGAAAATTTTAAATTATATCAAATGTGGCTGATGCTGATATTTGTATCTGCGTGGTAGTAGCCCAATATTCTCATAAAATTTCATATACTACTTGACTTTTATATTAAAGTTAAAATTTACAGTATACAGCGTTATGTTCCTTTTTACTGTGTATGTGTGTGTGGGGGGGGACAAACAAACTATGATTTTGCCTTCCCTATCTACCCCTTTGCTCTTTAATTGGTGTGGCATTGGACTTAGAATCTAAACATATGAACTAAGCATGTTATAGTGGAATCACATAAGACCCTAGAACAGTTAGGATGATTCATTGTAAGTAGTTTAGCATGTACTTTAGGCACAATATTTAAAAGCCTGTTTCCTCCTCACAAATTTTTCTTCTGAGACATGGCTTCTGTGATCCTGTGCAACATAACACAACATCCATAACAGATGAATAACCATGTCCTATTGCAGAAATCCTGGATTGTTTTACCTTTTATTAATATCAAATCTGTGTACAATGATTACAAGACAGGCAGAATCTGGGACATATCACCAGCTGTTCCACTGATCCCTCTGGGGAACCAGCTCACTACCACTGTATGGTAACCTTGTTACAAAGGGCAAAGGGGAAACCCCAAGCTGTCGCTCTGCCAGCTCCCACACCATCCAAGAGAGAACTAGGACCCTTGCCTTCAGTTCTTATCCAGTCATATAACCCAAAGAATACCATGCCCATAGGGCCAAGCTACCACAATACAATTAACGGTCGGATCAAATTTTCACATTTCCTACTTTTTAGTCTAAAATAAAAAGATTCTAATCCTAATATACTAAAAACAATATAAAGTAAAACTATACAATAAGTTATCAAGTAAGAACTATATTGTGGATGTTCAGACTAGGTGAAAGACATTTTATAGAGATCACTGCAATAGTCCTTTTCTAAAGAATCTAAATTTGTACCTAATATGTCTTTACCTAGGGTTTATGAGGATTATAACTGTAACTATCTAGTCTTCAACCCCATCAAAGACCTGAGAGGGAAAATAATATTACCTTAGTAAGCAGGAAGTGAAAGCAAGGGACTTGCAAAAATTAGGAGAAATCGCAGAAATAGCTGGCTGCTGGGACAGTTAACCAAGGTTCCTCTGTAACAATGGGGCATCCAACTTTGGCGTACAGGCCTAGAATATCTGATAGACCATTTTCAGAAGCAGAGAATTTTGAAGGGCTGTCATACCCTGTCTCAGCAAAGTTTGGCAATCGCTTTTCCTTGTGTCCTGCTTGTACAGATTAGACAGCATACTGTTAGCAATTGAGGCAAGGGCAATTTTTTGCCTAATAGGTCAGTTTTGCCAAGGAAACACACACACACACACCCCTACCTTCTTGGGAGTAGGTCAGTGCTGCTAGAAGCACTTGTCTCATGTCAAAAGAATTCTAAGTTGTTAAAACATTAAATGCCATAGGTCTATAGGTCTCTGAAGTGTTTGCAGATTATCTGAAGTATATCTCTCTGCATCTAGAAGACCTAACTAGCGTGATTATAAGTTTGACAAACATGGTGACTATTAACCCTTAATTCTTATTAACCTATATAGCTTAAGGACTAGGGCTTCACAATACAAAAATAAACAAGCTGTAGAAGTAATACCTTATGCAAAAAATAGAAATAAATGTACAGTATCAGAACAATAACCTCGAAATTGTGACAGTATATAAAAATACCTTAACCAGAGGTATAAATATAATGCAATATGACAAAAATAACCTTAATTTGCAAAAATGTCCTAAACAGGAGCAGAAACATACAGTATGACAAACGTAATGTCAACATTTATGTAGATATACAAAAGTATTTTAAGCAGAACTGGGGATGGATATATATATATATATATATATATATATATATATATATATGAGACAGAATTTTGGATTTGTACTAATATATAAAATTATCTTAAACTAATAGAAACATATATACAGTATAACAAAAATAACTGATATACAAGAATCCATACCAATGTAAATTATTTAAAACTGATAGTTGGTTTGTTAGTTTATAAGTAGATCATTATTATCCTATCATGTTTATCTTCCTCATTTTTATTCCAAGTGAGATCACTGACTGATCTCTTATTTTTCTGTCCCCAATCCTTTAACACCTTATTACCAACCTGAGAAAAACCAAAACCATCCACCCCGCTTATTAAGGAAAGGGGGTATTGTGTTCTTAGAATTACTTACTGATATCTAGAGGGGAGGAAGTAACAGTATCTCTATGGGACCCTGCAAAACTAAAACACGATTTAAGTCTTATGAGGACCAGTTGGAATATTTGTAGCCAGTCTCTGAGTAATGGGTAAAGCTTATCTGAAGTTATGGCTAGAGTGATATAAGAGGGTGGACCATCTCAACTAGCCAGCCATCTTGGAATTGTCCTGAGCACTTTGTAGTGCAAATCCAATCTCTGAGTGGTGTTTATCAGCTTAGTGGCATTACTATGATGCAGTCATTGTGAGCACCAGATACTTCAGGGATCCTGGAGATTGTTTTACCTTTTATTAATATCAAATCTGCACAATGATTGCAAGACAGGAGGAGGAATCTGGGTTGCATCACCAGCTGTTCTGCCAATCCCTCAGGGACCCAGATCTCTGAAGATGTACTGTAACCTCCTTAACAAAGGGTGAAGGGGAGCTCCAAGCCATATCTCTACCAGCTCCCACACTGTCTTAAGAGAGTGTGTGATCCTCACCTTCAGTTATTACCCAGTCACATACCCCAAGAAAAGACCATATGGCTAAGCTGCCCCAATACAATCAAATGGCTGTCGGATCCAATTCCCACAACAGTGTCCAGACCTTAAATGTGTGTTGTTTCATGCATATTGCTTGTGAGACTGTTGTGTCATCCTGGTTTCACAAAGTTAGAAAACCCATTATAGGATGTGAATGTGACCATTAAAAATCATCTTTTTGAGTAATTTGTCTTCACTCATCTCGTTCCCTAATTTCCTTAAGTCTCCTTATAGTCAGGAAAGCACTCTGTACAGTAGAAACACAAACTGTACTTTGTGTTTCAGGGTCTGTTGACACTCTGGGATGTAGCAGTGGACTTCTCCCGGGAGGAGTGGGAAAGCCTGAACTCTGCTCAGAGGGCTTTGTACATTGATGTGATGTTGGAGAATTACAAGAACCTGATCTATGTAGGTAAGAACATTTTGTTTGGAGAATTCCTAACTCTGGCTTTACCCTGTGTACTGACTTTGTAGGTTGTGAATTCTCTGTTAGGCTGTCTTGGAAACAACAGGAGACTAGGGAGTGCTTGCTAGTAGAAAATATCTTTATCTGTTGTTTTTTTTTTTTTTTTTTTTCTATCGTCCAGGTTACATGATGCATTCAGAAACCCAGTAACATATAATATTCCCATTCATATCTTATAGCTCCATGTGTGTCTTTGCACTTGACATTCTTTTAGTTGTCAAACTGAAAATTCTCCCTAAATATGCTGAAGATTCTGACAGGAAACCATTCTTCTACATTGTGTTCTCTTCATGTACTGAGCACAGTATTTTAGACATCTGTATTCTTTCTAAAAGTTCTAGTATGGGTTAGGGGCTACATCATAGAACACATGGATTATTGTGTGCAAAGTAGGCAGGGGCAGCTGTGTGGAGCAAATGAGATTCCCCTGGAATGTGGAGAGGAGAGAGTAGCCATCACTAGGATGGGCTGGGGAATGAGAAGAACAGCAGCCATGGCTTCAAGTGAAAGAGTAAGCAAGAGCTGAGAATGCGTTTTGCAATATTCAGTCCCACTTGAAAGGGTTCCTAATAACTGAACTTAGTGTCCTGGCTCAGGGATGCATCCTTCTTGTTATAATTGTTAGAAGATGTGTTTTATTGCACTTAAATTATGGTGACTTGATATTAGTACAAAATGCAGTTTTATTTGACTATACTGATAACAGATTGGAATAATTTTACAAAATTCTAAAGTCATTGAGGTGGGATTATTCTGTAACTGCTTTCCTTGCATGGATGCCAATGGTGAATAGAAATAAGCACTGGCTTTTCATGACAGCCCTGCTTTAAATGGTCTAGAGCAGTGGTTGTCAACGTTGGTAACATTATAGCCCTTTAGTAGAGTTCCCAATGTTTTGTTGAATCCCAATTATAAAATTGTTTTTGTTGCTAATTCTTGACTAACATTGCTACTAAGTGATGCCTTCGTTCCTAAGACCATCGAAAATAATGTATTTTCAGACAGTCATGATCCACAGGTTGAGAAATGCTGATCTGGAACCTCTGTTGTCTGGCAGAATACTGGCTTTGCAACCATTACTTTTGAAGAATCTAATGTGCTTTTTAGGAAAATAAATAAACAAATAAATAAAACCTTTGATGCTTTTCAATAAGCCTTTAATCTTAAAAGGAATTGGGTATTCTGAACTATAGTCTTCATTGCTGTACTTAAGTAAGCAAACACTGTAAACCTGGGATTGGATTAATCTCTGCTTCATCAATTTCTGAGAAAAAAAAATATTTAAAAATAGACATATATTCTAAATATAAGCAGTCAGCAAGCTCGATTCCAAAGCTAGTTACTAATTCCTCAGTTATCTGCTTCAACTTCCTTGAAGGCTATCACTCTGTTTTGTGAGAATTCATAAATTAGAGTGATGAAAAAAGTGACTGCTGGAAGCTATTTTCTAAACAGGTGCTGGCTAGCTTATCTTGAGAGAACTTAGGGGGACAGTTGTTATAATTTATGAAAAGGAACATGCCAAACAAAGATGCCATGAGACTGGGTTCAAGCAGAGATGTTTTTTTACTAGGGAAAGGGATTATAAAAAGGGGAGAGGGGAAACCAGTCTCTGGAGACAGGAGCAACAGGGGATAGGAAAGAGGAAAAAGAGGGAGAGGGACAGAAAGAGCAGAACACAGAGGGAAAAAGAAATAGAGAAGGATGGGAGGTGGGCAGGGCCCTTTTAAAAGGGAACATAATGAATATGCACAGGTGGGTCTCTTAGTGCTCGCAGCAGAAGGCAAATCCTGTCAGAACCCCAAGGGCAGGCCAGTACAGATGCCTGAATACTAACAACAATCATATACCAAATGTTTACTCTTGGAAAAAGCCCTATTAATCTGAACTGTACTCATTTTCAGAGAACTATTGCAAATATGATCCTGTCCATCACCATGTGAAGGCCGAAAGGGAGTGTTGTCAATGTAATGAGCTTGGCAAAGTGCTTCATGACCCCTCCACGTGTGTACTTTATAGAACAATTGAAACTACAGAAAACTCTAATAACTACAGATGCAGTAATCACAGGGATGCATCTGTTGACTCATCAAACCCAGATAGACATGAAAGCATGCACACTGGTGAAGAACCTTGCAGATCTAAAGACGATGAGAAAATTTCAAATTTGTGCTCCAGCATTACTCAAGATCAGAGACTCTACACTGCAAAGAAAGATCACAGGCAGGGAGAATATGATGACTATTCTGTGTCTTCATACAGTCTTGTGCAGCAACCAGTCCACATTGGAGAGAAAGCACACCAGTGTGAAAAATGTGGGAAATACTTCAGTACTGCCTCAAGTCTCACTGAACATCAGAGAATTCATACTGGAGAGAAGCCTTACAAATGTAAGGACTGTGACAAATGCTTTACTGTGAAGTCAACTCTTACAAAGCATCAAAGAATTCATACTGGAGAGAAACCCTACAAGTGCAATGTTTGTGACAAATCCTTTACTCAGTATTCAAGTCTTAAAACACATCAAAGACTCCATACTGGAGAGAAGCCATACAAATGCAAGGACTGTGACAGATCCTTTACCCACTATTCATCATTTAGAAGACACCAGAAAACTCATTCTCTAGAGGAATTGTACAAATGCAAAGACTGTGATAAGTCCTTTCTTGAAGTATCACATCTCAAAAGACATTACAGAATCCATACTGGAGAGAAGCCTTACAAATGTGAGGTATGTGACAAATCCTTTAATATGTCCTCAAATCTTAGAAATCATCAGAAAATTCATACTGGAGAGAAACTTTACAAATGTGGAGAATGTGACAAATCCTTTAGCCTTGACTCGTATCTTAGAATACATCAGAGAATTCATACTGGAGAGAGACCTTACAGATGCAGAGAATGTGGAAAATCATTTCATCAGTTGTCAGCACTTAAACGCCATCAGAAAATTCATACTAGAGAGAAACTTTACAAAGGTAGGGAATGTGACAAATCTTTCACTCAGGAAACACATCTTAGAACACATCAAAGAGTTCATACTGGAGAGAAAATTTACAGATGTAAAGAATGTGACAAATCTTTTCCTGAGTGCTCAACTCTTAGACAACATCAGAAAATTCATACTGGAGAGAAACCTTACAAATGTATGGAATGTGACAAATCCTTTATCCTTAATTCATATCTTAGGACACATCAGAAAGTTCATACTGGAGAAAGACCATACAAATGCAAAGAATGTGACATGTCCTTTATCCGGATATTTAATCTTAGAAGACATCAGAAAATTCACAGTGGTGTGAAAAATACCATTGCAAATAATACAATATAGCTTTATCTACAGTTTTCTGCTTAGAAATCATAGAAACAAAGATAAGAAATTTATGAATGCCTTAAATCTTAAATTTCACAGGAAAAGATGAAAATAGCATCTACAAAAGTAACTGGGAAAAGTTTTGCTGTGTGTGTGTGTGTGTGTGTGTGTGTGTGTGTGTGTGTGTATGTGTATTTATGATTGCACTGTGTGTGATTAATTCTTTGCACTGAAGAGGCCAGAAATACTCATCAGATTCCCTTAAAGCTGGATTAACAGAAAATTATGAACTAGTATGCATATTTGGAATTGAACCCAGGTCCTTTGGAAGAGTAGATATTGCTCTTAACCACTAAGCCATATCCCCAGTCCCTTGAAAAAACTGTAATAAAAACATTTATTGAGTTCAATATGTAATGATTCATAATAATGCCTCCCTCAGAGGAGGCAAAGCCAGGAAGATCTCCATGAGTCAGAGGCCATCCTTCTCTATATAAGTGAGTTGCTGAGCAGCTAGGACTACATAAACACTGTGTAAACAATGACAAAAAAATCTTGAGGATAAAAGTTGTAACAAAAATGTGGCAAAAAAAAAAACTAATTTTGCTGTACATCACAACATTCATAGTTCTGAGAAACTATATAAAGGTATACCATATATAATCCCTATGTGTGTCTGTTCTTTGGAAATTGCACCCCTGAAATGCATTCAGTTTGATAAATTCTTTCTCCAGTGCTGAAATTGCCCACATAGTAGTAAATTCACCATGAAAGAAAACACAAGAAAATGCTGTCCTAAAATCTCATCTTGTGTTGACCTTCAGAACCTTCCTACTAGAGTCAAACCATACTGTTGTGAGTATTTTCTAGAGGCTGCTCGGACATGGGTTTAAGCACAAAGAAAGTCTTTATTGGCTGCCAGTGACTACACTGGGTTTTTTGAGATCCTAGTATAGCACCTAGCCTTTCCCAGGGTAAGCTCTTAAGCACAAAAACAGTGTTTTGAATTGTTGTACTTCATGCAACAAAAACAGCCAGATGCAGAAGCTAAAGGCTTGGTTAGTACATTTTGAGGCTTTTAAAGAACTATGAGGACTTTGAGGTTTGGCCTTTGTTTTAATTTTTGGCAGGTAGTAGTATCTATGTGCTAAGTTTTCAGCCTGAATGTCATTTACCTCATGGAGACAGTTGTGCTAAGGTCTGGGGTCTTCCTCAGGTTGGGGTCCTGTGACAGTAATAGCAAGAAGGTGAGAAACTAAAAAAAACAGCCTGAGAATGTGATGAAATGGGCATGTTTATATAGCTTACAAAACCCCAAAAGGCTACGGTTGTGGTGATACATGTATTTAATCCCAGGGCTCTGGAACCAAAGGCAGACTCAAACTCTGAGGCCAGTCTGGTCTCAAAAAAGAAGAAGAAGGAAAAAAAAAAAAAAAAAAAACAACAACAACAACAACCAAAAAAAAACCCCAGAACCCCCCCCCAAAGGCATACACAAATTCATTTTAAATTACTAACGAAAAATGGGAAAGTAAGTATTCATTCTACTCTAAAACAATATACCTCTATTTAACAACTACTGGACCCTCATGAAGTGAAAAGAGATTCATGGGACCCTCACCCCACCTATGCCATGATGAAATGGTAATTGTCCCAATTTTACACAGTTGCCTGTTCTTAATACCTTTTGAACAGTTTCAAGTTTGTCCATTACCCACTACCAATTTCAAAGGAGTCTTCATCATCAAGATAGATAATTATGGACATGAATATTTGGAGGCCACATTAACAGTTCGATCATTAACAAAACATCAGTATATTCACCAAGTCATGTTTAAGCATGTTTTTATAGTACAGGACATGAATTCTCTATGGAGCAAGCCTCATTTAATCAAGGGAGAGGTTCATTTTGTCTAGAAGCAGTTGTGCAAGTATTGCACCAGTGCAGTAATGTAGGATGCAGGGTCCTGGGGCAGGTTAGACCACTGATGTATTTTCTCTGCCAGCAGCCCTCACAAGGCCTTGTAGTATTGCAAAAGCTAGCCAGCAGGGAGAATTCCTTGCAAGAATGCACTCTATCTTACAACCAAAAGGTGTAGTATCTTCAGCAACTAAATGGTCAAGCAAGAACACAGGGAATGACATGCTTTGGGATACCTCTGGGACCTCCTAGGCAGATAACCAGTAGCTATTCTAGAGAGTTCCATTTAATTGCCCTGGTGTCTGGCAGCAGCATTGCAGGATACCTCAGCTCAAAATTTTAAAAATTGTATTCCTATTAATTTGTAAGGCAGTGGGATTTCATAAGGCTTCTTCATACATCCTTTTGATTGACCCTCCCACTCTTCTTAATTCCTGTTCCATGCCCACTCAAACATTTAGTATTCATTACCCAAAGCTCATTCTTTTTAACAATCCTACCATATCATATAATGTCACTTGGACATATGTTTTCAAGGCTGACTGTTTTTAATACTGGATAACTGATAACACTCTTCCCTTGGGGAGACTATTTCTCCTGCTCCCAGTATTCCTCAGTTACTTTTAGTTCTCTGTGCAGGGTTGAGGCCTTGTGGACTTTTCCCAATGTAATTTGGTATGTCCATTGTTTCTGTCCTTGCTTAGCTTCCATTTGTGTGATCGTGTAGGTGAGATGTTTGTGGATGTAGCTTCTTGCAGTATTAGGAGACACAATCTCATAGCAAACTTCTGAACTTGTGGTTCTTAAAGTCTTTCTACCTCCCCTTCAAAACTGTTCCTTGAACCTTAGGTGCAGGAGTTTCTGTAGATATATTCATTGCATCTGGCCTCCACAACTGTGCATTTCCATTAGCTGTGGGGGTTTTGTAGTGGTCTCTCTTGCAAAGAGAAGTTTCTTGAGTGAGAAGTGGTAATTGATTGAGGTCTAGTGTAAGGTCAATGCAGTCAAGTACAGTTAATGTTGGTTACTGATTACAATAGCTGTATGGAGTCTAGAAAATGACATGTCTTACCTCTTCTTCATTCCCTTCTCATTCCCTTTCCTCTTTTTCTGTGTTCCCAGAGACATAGATGGGATGGTATAACTGACATTTTTAAAGCTTACGACCACATTACTTATTTTCTCTATCTAGGACAGCCAAAAGTCTCAGCATCCACTAGGGGTGGATGGTGGATGACAATGGATGGGAATCTAAATTGTGTCTTAGACCTTTAGCCTGAGTCACAGGCTAAAGTTTTCTGAGTTAAAATGACAAAAAAACACCATCTAGCTGTGAAAGTAGTACAGTGGAGGATGAACTCAGGCCAGGTCTGACCACTGACTTCTTGAGACACCTATTTCTTTTCAAAATCCAAGTTCCTGAAATGTCTCTCACCAAGTCACAATTGAAATATTTGGTTTGGGCTTATCTTGTTTGTGCTGGGGATGGGATTCTGGCTTCTGAATTTAGCCTGTTATCCTTTGGTGTTAGTATACATTCCAAGAGTATGGTGGTCCAGTAGAGGTATTAATCACTGCCTATCTTGCATCTGAAGGGTTCAGAACTCAGTAGGGATCAGATAATGGGAGCATAGCATTCTCCTAGATCCTGTTCTGGTTGAGGCTTGGCAGCAAGCACAACTGACAGCTGGAGTTGTGTGGAAGGCTGCCTGAGACAGGGTGGGAGGGACTGGACTCAGTGGGTTGGGGATGCTGACCTGGAAATAGAAGTTGGAAGGCTGTTGGACTTTAGGTGAGGGTAGGTCAAGTGTAGGAGACTGGGAGGGAGTAGAGGAGTGAAGTGAAAGAAAGCCAAGGAAGTTGGATAGAGGAGCCAAAATCAATAGTGTCAAGGGACTGTTCTTGGAAGGAGCTCAGGGGCCTGCACCCTGAGGAATCCTGTGGTGCAAACATGGGTGTAGAGGAAACAGCAGGTGCTGCATGGCGTGTTCTTGGAAAATCACCATTAAGCATCACAGTACTAGGAACCATAGCCGGGAGGCCCTGGAACCTCCCAGGTTAGAGGAACTGCAGGGCTGGGACACAGGAGGGAAGGGACCTCTATAGCTGGAGGATGGAAGCTGGAACATGTGGCCCTGATGTATGGTGGCACAGCATCACAGATTTCAGCCTTCGATCTGCTGTGGCATCACACCACACCACAACTGTAGTTCAACTAGGCCATTTCACTTTCCCCACTTAAATAAGAAACATGAAAGTGCCTCTGTTAGTGACTTTGACAAACACAACTTTTCAGTACTGAGGAAGCTGGGACTCCCTGGACCAAAGAATTACCCTTTTCTCCTGCCACACTCTAGCTCAATAGGAAAGAACAGCAGCATCCTTATGTACCTTGACACATCATGGAACCATCAGAGCAGGCCCTCTCATAGCTGACTATTCCTAGCCCCCTCCCAGTCTGCTGTGCAAGGTCTTGTCCAAGGTCCCTGCCTCAGGCCAACACACACATATCTGTCAAGTCCCTATACATGTGCTAGTTAGGTGGCTGGTGATACTACATTAGAAGTTCTCTATCCTCCAGTGACAATAGTTCCTCTAGCTAACTGCACATCTATGTGGTCCACAAGTTCCCAAACTATTAACAAAGTTCTCAACACATCTGACGTACATTTAATAAAGCATCCACAGTACTTTGAATTACAAATATCTTATACAAGTTGGGCATTTGAACACATGGGCACACATGAATAGTTGATAATATGTTTGGGGGAAGTTTATATGGTGAAGCCTTAGTAGTAGAAGTCCGTTACTGGGTCTGCCCTTGAGATGAACAAGCCTAGTCTTCATTAACTCCTTCTTCCTCCTGCTTGAGTTTGAGGTTGTCACACTCTCAGTCTCCTGCTTTTGCCTTCAAAATTCCAACTTTCTATCATGCTTCTGTCCCATCAACATGAGCTCTTATCCCTCCAAAATTAAGCCACATATGCTCTTTCTTTCTTAAGATTCCATGGTTATGAACTTTTATCACAGAATAGTAACCAATAAACATGGGCTTAGCAAAGAAGGTTGCAACCCTCCCCAACCCCACCAGTGTTGTCCAGAAGTCAAGGTAGATTCATTGCTGTCACATAGATGTTACACATTAGCTGTAACTTTCCCATCCACCCCCACCAGAGAAACAATGACCCCTTCAAGTAGCCTTAATTACAAATCCCTTCCTCTGTCGTGTGCCACAGGTCTCACATTAACAAAGCCTTCTTGATTGTTCAGGACCTCCCCTTCCCTCAGAAGCCTCGAAGTCCATGGAGACAGGCTTTGTCTGATTTGGTATGAAACTGCCCCAGATTCCCATGGAGTGGCTATCATTGCTTGAGTCCTTTCGCCTGGAAGGATGTTGTCTCCTAACATCACAGTCCCTCTTATAACCTCCCATCTTTACCTCCCTCCCCACAGAAGAAACAAACTCATACAACAAGGAGAAAAACAATA